GAACACAAATCTTCTTATAAATGAGAAAGTCGAGCAATCGTAGAGGATATGCTCGATGGTCTCATCTTCTTAATAGCATTCGCTGCAAAGTGCGTATTTTTCATGGCTCCTGTTATGTTGAGACATGCTGTTCTTTGAATTTGTTGTAGTTTACGGATAGCTGTTAATTTTTGAGTTTTCGGTACCCCTATGTCAGCATAGGTCTTATGATAGCCGCGTAAGTCCATGCGACGATTATGGGGGAGAAACCCCATGTGCGCTCCACGGTTCGGCGGCATTGTTCATAAGCAATGTATGCTTTTTTGACTCGGTTTTCTAAATGCCAGTTCCATATTAATTTGCTGTCAAAGGTGAGACCCAGGTACTTCACCTCTGTTGCAAAGTTTAGTTTTGTGTTTAAGAGTTCTGGAGGTTTTAATTCTTTCACAGATTATGTTCATGAAATTTCCTGTTTGCAGAATGATTAAGTCATTTGCATATGCTATTGTGTAATGACTGTCATTAATTATTGAGGCATCTGATGACGGTATCGGGGACCTATCTCAGTCCGTTTGTATCCAAAAAACTTTTTTAATCTACCATTTTAAAGGAAATTTAATCTACTTTGTTTTATTTGGGACAATATCTATCTCTGATCTAAAAACGCAAAAATGAAAAAAAAAAATAAATAAAACAGTAAATTGAATATACTATTTTTTTTTTAAATTCTTTCTTTTTATATATTTTTTTTTGAGATGAAAAAAGTTAAATGAATTATTTCGATATAAAATTGAATTCTCTACAAAAAAATTCCTATTAACTCCATCTAAATTTTGCTTCGTTGTCGAGATATAATTAAAAATCTCTAAGGGTTGCATCTTCATCCCTATCTCCAATTTTCGCCCTCTAATTTAATGACGCTCCGCGGTTTTTTATTTTTAATGACCATTTGAACGATTCCTTGGATGATGATCGTTCAATAGTCTGATGATTACATACTTTTCGTAGGCTAAATGTGTTAACCTGCTAACTCACATGAAGCCCAATTTTCAGGATACAGAAAAAACTGTCTTAATTAATACAAAAGTGTTCATAGAACGACATATTTTATCAAAATGATACTCAGTACTTTGCAAACTGTTTTTTTAATATATCTTATTTAAAAAAAATTTTATTTTTTTTCTACGTCCATAAAATTGAGTTAGCAGTTTCGAAAATTCTCTTTACGAATAAAACTCGCAGAGATTGCAGTATTTTTTATTAACTTGAATGGCAATAACATTGAACAAACTAAGCATTTTAAAAACAAAAGTAAACTTAAAATAAAATAATTTCGTTACAAAAACATATAATAATTTTTTATTATGTAATTTTTCATAAGGCAAATCATTGTAGCTGATAAAGTTGACTTAAGATCTTGGAGATCAAAATATTTTTGAGCTGAGATTTTAATTTTATTTTGATGAAGACTATCCAGTTCAGCCCATGTTTTGTTCTGAGTTCTTGTCGTCTTCGCTGAAAAAGAATTGTCTATTCTTCTGACAATCGCAGTTTGTTAAATATTTCACCCTCGGGTGTATACTTTAAACCACGCATGCCATTAACCTAAAATAAAAAAAATATTAATTTAAGGAACTAATAAAAGAATAAAGACAACATTGGGAATAATATTTACCTTAGCATCTCCAGGCTTTCTTCCAGGTCTAACACTTTTTACCATTTCAATATTTTTAAACGACTTGAAGAAGGTATAGTCCAAATATTTTACGTTATACGGTCTAGGATTCATTTTCTCTTTTTTGCAGTGAAATGCGTATTCGGCTGGAATAAATTTTTCTTGACTTTACACGACGTTCTATTGTGGAATGCATTGAATCCACTGGCATCTGGGTGTATTTCACTTCTAGATACTTATGTTTAATTGTTGGTAATGAACTAAGAAACTCTTGTATGCTGTTCTTTTCTGTTTCTTTTTATTTTGTTCTTAATTTCTATATACAGTTGGTCTTTTTTAAAGTTTTTTCTATATCATCAGCTTTTTCGTAATTTGAAAACGTATTTTTCCACTTTTGAATACTCAAACGACCCAAACCTACTGTGTTACAGTACATTGTTCTACAAACTCTTATTTCCTGATCGCCTGTTTTTAAATAGTATTTTAAAATTTGATTTCTCCTTGTTTGTTCTGATACTTTTCTAGCTCTTGCCCTTTTAATAAATTTACTCTTCATAGTACTGTCTACGAATATCTTTTTTTCTTCCTAACATAGGCTCCAAAAATATTCGAATATGTCTTTTCTTTGTTGTTCTGTTATTTGATTGCATTTTAAAGTTCCGTTTTTAACTCTACAATGGCATCTTTCTTTGATATCTCTTGGCTCTCTTTCTATGTCGTAAGACCACTTTTCGTATACTCGTATACTTTAGTTCTACCAACGTACCGCTTTTCTTTCTCTCACCTATTTCTATTCTTTTCTGAAAACTACGTTGCCTTTTCCACTTTAAATCTTTTTCGTCTCGTCTTTGTTTTTGTTGGCATTTTATCAGAACTACTATCAGTCTCTGAATATAGCACTAAATTAAGTGCATTGTAGTCACTTTCATCCGATATGTCATATGCTAATGTATTTTCTTCTGTTTCAAACCTGCTTGTTCTTGCTGTGTTTTCTCTGTATATGACTTTATTTATTTTATGCTTGCCAGTCCCTTGTTCACCTTTTGCTTTTTCTGTTCTATAATTGTTAGTCTCTTCTTTATATGTAATATTAGCTACTATATCAGCTACTTTATGATGTCCTGCCTCTTCAATTTTTCTATTGGTATCATTTGCATCCATGGTTTCCAATATTTCTGATTTCATCATAATAATTTTCATTTAATGGAGATGTTGTAACCTTGTCTTCAGAAAATGACGATTGGTAATTTCAATGTTAACATTTTTAACTATATGAAAATTATTTGCGGATGTGTGATATTGTTAGTATCTTCATTTGAGTTATTATTACATACAGCTTGCCTGGTTGCTAATTTTAAAATGTCCTTTGTTCGTTTTGACACAATATCTGTAAAATAAGAAAATGTCTAGCAGACTATTCAAAAAAATAATAACAAATGGTTTTTGTATGCCTCAATGTACTAAATTATCATTGTACTTAAATATCTAAACGAAAATTAATATAAAATTAATTTGATCCTATATTTACATGAAGCATCCAACTTCTTAAACTAGTTAGATAGACTACTTTTCAATGGACCCTATAAAAGTGATTTTTTACAAAATAAAAGCAATTTATTTATTTTTATTTATTCATGGATAGTAAAAAAACAAGGAAAACCTGCTATATCCACTTCACTTGCACTTAGGGCACACGATAGGCCGCTAACTCCAAAATTAGGTTAATTGGATTATTTTATCTTAAAATCGTCAATTTTATTAAAATACATTATAAAATATTACCTTTTATAATAAAACAACACAGAAAAACAAAAATACTGGCAGTAGGTAGGAAAAAAAAACGGAAAACTTTGAGAGTCAAAATAACACGTGCACCTGTTCCCCATACAATTAGCTGGAGATAGCCGTATTTCTTTGCGCATCATACAACATAAAGTTGACTGGTATTTGTGCGTCACAAAATAGATCATTTCTACACAGAGTTAGCTGGTCGATGCAAGGCGCCATCTATTTGACAGATATCGAAAAATCACAAAATCGTAAAATACGTAGTTAGCAGGTTAACACATATAGGCGACGTTTTATTTTCAAGATACATCTTGTGAGTAATTAATTATAGGGCTTCTTTTTAGATGGGGAATTAAATATTTATATTTACTTTAATAATTGTATTTTTACATAGTTAGCATTTGTTCGTGTAGGTGGTAATTTAACAATCTTGAAAATTTGCAGACCCTCTCTCGTGTCGCTTCACAATTCTTTGTTTTGAGAACTTTGACAGGCTCCTCCGTGGACATTTTAATTTGGTCAATAACATATTTTGGTTGTCTTTTATTAACAAACATAAGACTGCGCTAGATAATTTTTTGAAATCACCAAAACCATGAAAAACATATAACTGCTACTATTATTTAAAATAAATTGTTATTAGGACTTTTACTAATTTAGATGATGATTTTTTAGAAAGTTTAGCTTTATTAGTCCCAGTTTTATAAGAGTACACGACAGTACTTTTTTAATTAATTGAAATTTTTTCAATTTAATTCAAGTTGTTAATTATCTTTTTTTTTTGGTAATTTTATTTACAAATCTTATTGACACATTTTCCGCTTTAAAAAGCAGTCGAAATTTAAAAAGAACCTATAGAGCAATGAATGTTTCGGTTGAATCCAAAAACAATTTTTGATATAACTAAAGACTCAGTTGTTATTAATAACTATAATATTAAAATATAACGTCCAAAAAACAATGCATATGACAATTATATGATAAAACCAAGGTAGACAACAAATTAAAACAAATTGGCGTTAGGTAAACAAATCAAAACAAAAAACTAAAGTCCTAATCTAAACACAAACTAGTTTTGATTGTTCATAACTTTGATCTCATAATTTGTTTGTATATTTTATGGCTATTCTGTTTTTTGTCTGCTATTAATTTTTATAATTTTAAATAACAAAGTTAAAAAACTATTTTGCATAACATAAAAGTTTTACCTTAGTTCGTCACATAAGTTTTTTTTTATTTTTAGTAATAAAGGTATTGTAGTTTCATGCTGTTCTTACTCTAATTTATACAAACAAGCTCACTCTGCTGAACTTATATTATTCATTTCTATACTAGATAATTTTATGTGACAAAATTGTCACCCCATCATTTTAAAAGTATATCAGAATTTTTTTTATACAAGTAAGAATGTTAATTACAAACGAATAATAAAATTATTATATGCCTAACAACTGTGTTGCTCTCTTTCAATGATTATTTACATACTCCTCAAATAATCAACAGTTCAAATACAGCACTAAATTTTATAAATAACAATAATTTAAATATTTTGTTCCAGATATACCAGGCATTTCCATATAACATCGAAGAAGAGTACGAGTTAAAATACTTGCAAGTGAAAAACCAAATTCAAACAGTTGTCAAGGAATACACCGAAGATTTAGTGTTAGCTCAAGAGCGACAAAAATTTTTAGTAACAACAGCAGAACAGTCGTTGGAAAAAGAAATAGAACAACTTAATCAGTATATTAAGGAAACTACAATTAAAGCAGAAAGAGAATCTAAAGACATAAGTCACTGTATCACAGACGAGGACATAATTAACAAGCTGTCAAGTAATATTGAAAAACTGGAAACCTGTCATATGCAACCGAGTTTAGATTTTTTACAAAAAGAATTGAATTATTTTATGGATCAATATAATACGTTTAGTGACATGGTTGCTACTTGTATTGAAAATGAGGAGCAGGTCACTTTTGGTACAACTGTTATAGATGGCAGACATCCCTGTGTGGATAAAAATATTAGTGAAATAGAATTAAGAATGTCTGTTGTTGAGCAACTGTCCAGCCTTCTTTTGGAAAACGGTTACAATTCGTGCCTTAACTGCCTCAAAAATCAAATACCTGAGGTTGATAAAGAAATAATTTCGTTTGCTAGAAATTATGCAAATTGTGTCGATGAAATATTCGGTACTGAATATTAATTAATTAAAAAATGTAATTTTAAGGCTGTTTTTATATTTGATGTGTTCTGTATTTGAATTCACAATAAACGTAGTCTTTTAGCTTTGGTTTATCTTAATTTATATTATAGGGTAACGTTTCTATTAGACGGACTCTATCGGTAGTGGCAAACCTAATTAAAGAATATTCCCATACGAAATTCAAGGAAAGATGGGACCAAACAAGAAGCTGCAGAGTTGCCTGCTTTTAAAGTAATCCGACAATACTACAGAAAAAAAAAATTGACTAACTAGACATAATCTGCTCCTAATCACAGTCATTCTGAGTGGTCATTACCAATTATGAAAAAAATCTCCATATCATGGGGTGTCAGAATTCGCACTCACTATAGTCTATTTTCAGGTATGAGAGAGTAATAAAACAGCATTTCTAATGCAAAACTTAGTACGGTGATTTTAAATATTTTTACAGAATAATCTAAATATTTCCTAAAATTGTAATAAATGTACCTGAGCTGTTACAAGTTTTGGGTCTTTTATTGGTCCTTTATAAACATAAGCTTTACAGAACAATAGAAAAAGGTTTGGACAGGCCAAAAGTCATGTGTATTAAAGATTACATAGCCGTATATTAAGATTATTTTCAATAAGTACCTATTTGCCAATTTTGTTTTATTTTAATTCCAAGAATTTCTTACAGTAATCGAATTATAAGTAGATAAATACCTTCGCAACAAATTTCACCAAAAATGCGATTATAGGTTTTCCTTTTAGTAAGGAGGTCCAAGTTGTGTATTCTTGACAGTTTACTAAATGTTGTTTAGTTGCAACTTGCAAGGTGCAGTGTGAATTCTTGTGTGATCATGGAAAATTTAGAAGGGCCGCGTAAACGACAAAAAATCGGTCCTTTAACAGTTAATGAAAAAACATTAACATTTAATTGTTTAAAATCATTTACATACAAACATTTATGTAAAAGTGTTGATGACACAGTGGAATTAGTTAGTAGTATGCTTGGTGTTGGAAAATCTACGATTTACAGAGTTGTTAAAGAAGATAAATGTGGCGAGTTTCAAACAGCACGTAAAGCTCCAGGAAAACCAAAATTACAATTAGAAAATCCTTTCGAAAGAAAGACTTCGAAGAAAAGTGCATGCGTTCTTCTTTAGAAAAGAATTTCCGACAGTAGATAATGTTCTTGCCACGGTTCGAGATGCTAAGGATTACCCTGAAATGAGTCGAATCACACTATGGAAACTTTAAAAGAAATACGTTTTCTATGGAAAAAGCATTCCAGAAAGTCTATTTAATAGAAAGAAGCGATATTGTAGTATGGAGAAGAAATTACCTAAACACTATAAAAGAAATGAGAAACCAAAGCAGAAATATATTATATTTAGATGAAACATGGATCAACGAGGGACATAAACCAAATAAATTTTGGCAAGATGAAACTGTTACAAGTCGAAGACAGGCTTTTTTAAATAATTTATCTACTGCTTTAAATCCACCATCAGGAAAGGGGCGCAGACTAATAATAGTACACATCGGTAGTTCAAACGGTTTTGTAAAGGTGGTTTATTGACTTTTGAATCTACTCGTACCGGTGACTACCATGAGGACATGAATGCTGATGTCTTTAAAGAGTGGTTCGAACAAATTATAGATCTTCTTTCTCAGAACTGTAATGGATAATGCAAGTTATCACTCAAGACTTATAAAAAAAATGCCCACAACCAAGTGGTTAAAAAAAGATTTACAGAATTGGCTAAATTCAAAGAATATTAAGTTCCATCCCGGTTCTGTGAGAAAAGAACTGTATCATTTGTGTTCCCCTTATAAAGAGAAATCGTGGGATGCCGGTGGTTAGATCACCACCATATTATTGCGAAGTAAACCCGATTAAACCGATATGGGCACAGATAAAGGGAGAAGTTTCAAGAAAAAATAATTCTTTTAAAATGAGTGATGTTAAACAGTTGTTTTTGAAGGCTGTATATAATGTGAAGCCTGAAAACTGGGACAAGGCAGTAAATCATATGATTAAAGAAGAAGAGAAAATGTGGAAGTTGGACAATATTACTGATGAAATGATCGAGCCACTCATTGTAAATATTGGTTGCGATAGTTCATCTTCTGATTTCGATTCTGATTTGGATTTGTAGGTAAGAAGTAGTTTTTATATTAAAATTATTATTTATGAACGTAACGTTGTTTAAAAGTCAAAATTTAAACCCTTATACCTACTTAACCCGTTTGACACAATGTTCTAAACATACCTTGTGGAAAAATAAAACATAAAACATTTTAGAAAAAATTGCACTTTTTTACCTTCAGCTGTTTAGAAGTTATAAACAGGTTAATTAGGTGAAAATATAAGTGTATACTCGAGGAATAACTTCAAAAAATATTTTAACTGTCTACTAAAAGAAGTGATACGCCTTTGGATTACGAACGCTTTATTATTTTAATACTCTCTCATACATAAAAATAGACTATAGGAGGTGCGAACAAGTACATGAGGTCATCGATCATATTCTCTACGATTACCTGACGCTCTTATTTATTATTATATAACACGTTGTCAACTACAATAAATATGTAGGCAGGCTGACGAACTAAGAGGGGCCTATCAATTTAAGAGGATTTACAAAGCGCCTATTGAGGCCTATATACCGTACGTTACAGATACAAATTCGGTAGGTTTTGAATAGTTTTGTCATCGAAAAAGAGTTTTAAAATTGTTAATGGATTGAGTAATGGTCCGCAAAATAGAATAAAGAAAATGTTTACTATCTCATTCAAATTTCTTGGAAAACAAAAATCTTATTAAATTAATTGTGTATATTAACAAGTTAACAAACACAGTGTTTTTGTATTAACCAGTGGCCAGTTTAAATTAAATTATTTGCTTAATTACTTTTTTGCATTAAAATTCAAAAATCGGCCAAAAAATTAATTTAAAACAAATTGGAAATGTACAGATTTTTAACGAATTGAAAAAATATTACTTCGGCATAAAATTCTAGGATTGAATAAATGATTTTCAATTATTTATTTTGCAAATATTTTTCATCGAAATCAATAATGACTCGGCCCAGTAGCTTAATCGGCTTGGTAGCTCAGTGCGTTGAGCGCTTGTGTATTAAATTACTTACGCATGTTATGTTCAAATCAATGTAAAAGTTTTCATTAATTTGCATGGTTGTAGGATTTCATGGGTGATGTATTGACATTAATATAATTTCTGATATAATCTAAGAGACCGTCGGAGATCGACCTTCACCTATCTGATAACCAGATGAGGCATATTTTTTATTAAATTTTATTGAAATAATAACAAGCCTATGGGAACATGCTATTCGAAAAGTGTAATTAAATAAGTATTATTCTTTTTTTTTTTTTCATAACCTTCATTTTTAACAGATAGTTTTTAACATGGAGAATATGCCTCGGTATACTTGTTTACTTATTTCTGTTCATGGAGACCTGGCAATCAGATATGAACAAATAAGTCAATATAGATAACTTCACCGATATGTCAACCAAAAAAAATTGATATCAGAAAAGAGATAATTTAATTACGAAAATAATCGTATAAGCTTGCCTGATATAAAGTTTTAAAATCAGAGCAATTAAATATGTGCGAAGTCCGTGTGATAGAACAGGACACAACATAGCAGCTGCGCGCGACATGTCAGTTAAATGTAACCCAATGCGCATCCTCTTATACATGCGATTGACATTATTATATTACTATAAAATACTTATACTTATAGGTATATAATAATCATAAAAACTACATAATTAAATAATTTAATAAATAAAAAAATACATATTTCTTATAAAAAATGTATAATAACGAAAAAAAAAAAAATGTAGAAAAGTAATATTCAATACGTTTATGGTATCAAAAACGTTTATTTCAAAGCAAATGGAATACATAGAAAAATAATAATAATATATTCGTAATTATTATTCAAAATCTGAATCATCTGAAGCTAGATTAAGATCTTCAGACTCTGATAATTTTTCTTCATTTACATTTTCCGTCATTTGCACGATGTCATTTATCTTTAAAGGTGTTTGGTCCCCAACAAATCCAATTGGTTTTAAATAATTATTTTCTAAAAGTCAACCGCAGTTTTCAGGGTGCAATTTTATACAAATTTACAGATAATTTTTTTTTTTATTTTTAAATAATCAACATAATGATTATAAAAAAAATATATTTACAAACATAAAATGTTTGAAAATCAACGTACAATTTTTTTTCTTTATTTAAAATATTTTGATTTAAACAAATATTTTTACTTACTTCATGATTTTTTTATAAAATTTTCAAATTCTTCTTTATATTTATTACTTAAAAGTGTAAATGAATTATAATCAAAATCAAGAAGAGATATTTTGAACCACATAAAAACACTTTTTACTCATGTTTTACTACTTTTTAAATTTCCCAATTACAAATAATACTCTGCATGTAAAAGAGAATGCGCATTGGGTTACATATTCAATTGCTCCGATTTTAAAACTTCAATGCATGGCATTAGTATTCCATGAACAGTTTTTTGCAGGCAAGCCTGTTTGAATAATTTCATAAATAAAATATCTCTCTTCTGATATCGATTTGTATTGATTGATATATCGGTGTAGTTACCTATGTTAACTTACCTGTTAATACCTGCTTGCCCGGTAGCTATGAACAGAAATAAGTAAACAAGCCTACCGAGGTATATGGTTCTTGTTAAGAATTTTCTGTTAAAATTAAATTTGTTCGATTATCAGAAAAGTGAAGAGTATAAAAAAAATTGAATGAAATTTATTTAATTAAAAATAGCCATGAACACTATTCGAGTGGCAAGTTCCCAAAGGCATGTTAATAAATCAATAAAATTTCGTAAAAAGTTTTTCTGGTTATTAGATGAGTGTAGGTCAATCTTCCACGGTCTCATCTACTATTAATATGACATCTAGAGTAACTTTAATGGATATCCTTTGATTTGTTTTTAACGGTATCTATCTTGGGTTTCTTAATGTAAGTCAGCATTTTAAATATACTAGGAACAATCCACAATATTTCGAAATCCCTGA